GGTTGTAGTTGTCATTGTTGTTTGGCAGGCTTGGGCTAGATTCGAACTGGCCAGCTCAGGTGTATGTGGCTGGTGCCTTAGCTGCTTGAGCTACAGGCACTGAGCCTAAAAAGATGAATGTTATATGAATGAATATGAATTGCATCTCAAACTTGTTATTAATTTTTAAAAAATATTACTCAAGGTGTTTTGGGCATGAAGACCAAAAGCAGGATTTCAGAGGATGGAGACATTATTTCTAGGTTGGGAGATAGGTAGATTAAGGATTTATAAAAGAGGTTATGTTTGAGCTGAGTAGCTTTTAAGGAACATGAGTGCATAGCTAAGTAGCCGGTACCCTTGTAGTGGATGGAAAGGAGAGAGCCCCTTCACGTAGCTACCTCTAGGCATCTCTTGGACTGGCCTGAGAAGGATTTCCTCTTTTAAATTCTAAAACTGGAATGACTTTGGTTAAGTTCTGGGCCTTCTGATTCCAACTTGGTGAATTTGAAAGTCTTCACACACAGACATTATTCTACTTCATTTTCCTGGAAAAATGCATCACAGTTTTCTAGTAAAGAGCTGTGTAGGGCTGCTAAATAATGGCTTGTGGGCCCTACTCAGCCAGTCTCCAGTACCACATCCCCCTTTTTTTTTTTCTTCTGGGAGACGGTGTGTCACTCAGTAGCCTGGGTAGAGTGCCATGGCATCATAGCCCACAGCAGCCTCAAACTCTTGGGCTCAAGTGATCCTCTTGCCTGAGCCTCCGGAGTAGCTGGGACCACAGGTGCCCACCACAACACCTGGCTGTTTTATAGAGATGGGGTCTCCCTTTTGTTCAGGCTGGTCTGGAACTCCTGAGCTTAAGCAACCCCCTGCCTCGGCCTCCCAGAGTGCTGAGATTACAAGCATCAGCCACGGTCCCCAGCCTCTTTCTGTTCTTTGCCACTTACGGGGTCTTTTTGCAATTATTTTGTTTTCCTTCCTCTCCATTTTTCCCTCTTCCTGTCTGCTTCTAACCAAGCCTGTCCTCCTTGCCCCTCAGTTTTACCTCCCCATATCCAATCAGAAGATAGTTCAGCAGAGAAAATTACCAGCCTTCTTTGTGTAACACAAAGCTCAATGAAGCTATATGAGAGAAAAGAGATTGTAGAAACCTTTGCTTGAAACACACATGGAGGCATTAACGTGTAGCCTGTATTAAAGAACATTTTAATTGAAAATGTGATAACTTTGATAAAGTTCTTTTCTATGTAAAATTATAACAGTAATTAGGGTATAGGGGAGGTTCACTGGAACTGTTATTTCAAGCCTGTAGCTCTGGAGCTCGTATTTCAACATTCTCATCTGTGACTTGCCACGAGTCTCGCTTGCCTTTTTGCTGTGTCATGTTTTGGTATCCTGGATACCAAAACATGTCACCCTGATTGTGCCTCAGGTACTGGACTGTGAAAGGGTCACCACATTCTTGAGATACAGGGAACTGAAAGATTGTTTCCTTTTCAGAGATTCATAATGAGGCTGTTGAACTGATCCTGGCTGTCTCATTTCTGATCTCTACCAAACACTTTGTTTCTTGATGGCCTTAAAATTACATAGTGTGTTGATAAGGACGTTTTTTTAAATTGCTACAGGCATTTCCTTCGAGGTTAAATGTTTTCTTCTAGGGATAAGTATTCCCGTGCAAGTACACTATTGCAGTATGGGCACAGAGTTATCCAAACTCAAAAGGAAGTCTTTTTTCTTAGTTTGGCAGGTGTTTTTTGCTTTGTTTTTTTGGGGTGCATGGAAGGGGTGTTGATAGGATAGTTAAAGGCAACTTGGGTGGATGAGTTTGTTCTTTTGTTCTATTCATGTGAGGCTTTTAAAGTTGTGAGGAGACTGGATATTGAAGACCAAAGCTGTGACATCTTGAGAAAGGAGGGGAGTAGCGAGGAAGCCAGCCAGCCTGGAAGCCTAGTCCTGGGCCAGGTTTGGAATCAGGAGGTCTACTTTGGTGGTGGGATGATTGTTATTGTTTTTGTTTTAACCTGTCACCAGCTTACAAAGTCTACTTCTGAATCTTAGCTCTGTCATTGTTTACCCAAGCCAAGCTGTTTTATCTTCCTGAGCCTGCGTTTCGCCAACATAAAATGAGATATTTAGGAAGACGTATTATCTGGCCTATTATGCAGGGTAGCCATAAAGTTCACATGCAATTAGATGAGTCTTTTAAATTGCACATGAACTTTATGGCCACCTGTATGTTTAGTCCTCTGGGGACTTTAGAAATTTCGCCATTCATATTTTTAGCAATAATATTTCAATTATATATAATGTTAAAATGTTATATATAATATTATACAGCCCCTTTGGTGTAAGTATAGTTCTAGAGGTATAATATTTTGGAATAAATTCCTTAAATCAGAGTTTATGAAACCACTCTGTAAATGTAAATCGGGTGTAGTCCAGAAGTTTATGCTCAAGGTGGTGCTGTTTCCCCATAAATTGCCTGATGTTTTACATTTATTTTATCTCTGTTCCAAATCAAGCAAATAAATGAATATATATTTAGGACCATTTCTGCCTTCCGTAATCCCTAAGCCATCTTCTCCTTGCAAGGCCCCACCCAACATCATATAGTAAAATGCTCATTTATCCCATATTCACTATAATGCATACATGAGAGTTGAGTCAAAGTATATACGTTATGTGTTTGATGTGTTAAAACAGTACATATTACACTTTGCTTTTTGTATAATGGAGTCAATTTGTTTAATAGGCCTCAAACATTTGAAAAGCTTGTGATCTCTGGTTTCTCCCGTAACAAAGGACCTAATATATCTCTTTCCCAACCTGATTACAGTGTAAGGACAAATATTCATGTTGAACTTCCATTTTGGTGGTAACCTCATCTCTGTCGGGACCACCATATTAATCATTTCCTACTTCTTGTCAGAAACTAGACATGCATTCTGTAGATGTGGTCATTCGTGCTTGCTGTGAATGATTTTGCTTTGTTTGCTTCTAGATCCGGGGATTTCTGTCACGGTTTGATAATGTCCTTCCTGTCAGCCTGGCATTTGACAAATGTACAGCTTGTTCTTCCAAAGTAAGTCATTTTGCATTTGACTTTCCTTTTTCAAGTGAGCCCATCACCATTTGACCTCAGCCTTACCTGCTGGTACCGTTGAAACCAAGCTTAAGGGCTTAGGGTCTAAACAATCAGAAAGGACTTTGTTTTGTTTTCATTTATCTGTATCCATTCTTGTAGAGAAACCAGCCTGAGAAAACCTAATGTATAGCCTACAGAGAGAGACTGAGTTAGGCATTTTAGCTCTGTATCAGTTCTTGCTTCATGGAAATTTTGCCTCGAATCTGAACTTTAGTGGTCTTTGTTCCTCCCCTAGAGGATTCCCTCCTTGCATGGATTTTTAAGTATTACTCCAATGATGAGGAGATTCCAGGCAGTCTGGCTGTATGTCTTTTTGGAGATCCATATAGTGACAAAGAAAAGTAAACAGAGATTAGGGGCCTGGATGGGGAGCCAAAAAAAGGGCCCCTCCAGCTTTGATCTTTCCAGAGATTCTGAAAATAGAACTGGTATGTTGTCCATTGTAATGGGAAACGGCTGATGTATCAAAACTGCCAACTGTGATGGCATCTCATTTTTTAATAGGCTTTGAGATACCGTCTGAGTTATTTTTACACATATACTGTGTGTGATAGCTGATTTCCATTTGGGTGTCCCTTCAAGCGTGGCAGCATCCGGGGATTTGACCTAGGCTTTTAAGACTCATGATTGTTGATAAGTAAAGATTTTCATGTTGAAGTACTACGCAAATAGTGTTGGGAGTCACTAATCCCTAACTATGGCCTCTCGGTTATAATTTGGGACCTCTTTTCTGTGTAGCCTTCATCTGGTGCCATGGAAGGAATTAAATCATGGGGAAATTCTCCATGTTCTGAGTTGACAAACTACTTGAAAACTTTACTTGAGTTATATTTTGTGAGAATCTCAGTCTTAACCAGTTTTTATAAAAAAAAATCTATATTTGATTAAATTTACTTGCTCAAAAAGAGTAATTTTTTTTTTTTTTTTTTTTTGCTTTGAAGGTACATTAAGCCTCTGTTTTATCATTATGCACCCCAAGCACCTGTGTTGAGATTTAAGCTTCTCATTTGCCAATCCTTACCCAGGAGCTCATTTGTTCTGTAGGTTAAGATATCTTATATGTGGCTCAGCACGCCTAGCTCAGCAGTTAGGGCACCAGCCACATGTACCGGGACTGGTGAGTTCAAGCCTGGCCTGAGACTGCCAAACAAACAAACAAAAAACTAGCCGGGCTTTGTGGCAGGTGCCCATAATCCCAGCTACAAGGGAGGCTGAGGCAAGAGAATCACTTGAGTCCAAGAGTTGGAGGTTGTTGTGAGCTGTGATGCTACAGCACTCTACCCAGGGTGACAGCTTGAGACTCTGTCTCAAAAAAAAAAGATATCTTATATGTGCTCAAGTTAGGTCCTAAAGGATGTCTACATGCAGTTCTGTGTTCAGAAATGCAAGTTTTAGGATTATGTGCTCTTTAGTGGAATAATTTTTTTTGAATGGCTGAGCTAATTGGTCTCAAAGTAACTTGGCAGTATTAATTTTCATATGGAAATCATCTGGCACGGGTACCAGAAGTTTGTCTATAGCCTCATGACAATGAAATAAAGATAATTGGGTTCTCTAAGTGAATGCAAATACTCATTCTTTCTTGTTCTAATTAAATTAGCCCTTATATACTATCTGTAAAAGAATCACAAACATACCAGCTAACTGGGTTCCCTTATATTCTTCAAAAGAGAAAAGCTTTGCATTTTTCTTTCACAATTATTATAAACATTTAATAAATATAGGGATCACTGTTAGCAAAATTATTTCCTCTTGGTGGTCATTCTCAGAGTCCTGCTTTACATAAACACACTGGACGATTTAATACAAACTGACTTGGATTTTAACAGCTGTGCTGTTCCCATAGCGATCACTTTTCATGTAGTCTGGGTATTAAATTTCTCTTGTGCTAAAAAGGTTGCTTCATTGGTGCACGTATTTCCTTACAGTAGAAGCATAGCATTTACTTGGCTACCTTCTTTATTCACTCAGGAGAGTATCATTCTCTATTATCTACAAACCCAACATTAATACTTTGAAACGACAGATCCAATTACATTTTCATCTCTGTGCATGTGAATTTTTGCTAATGCATGCTGAACATATACTCTTTATACTCAGTCACATCATAATTGTTACTGTTTCAAAAATATTCACTGGGGCTAAAAATGACTTTTAAATATTTCTCCTTTGACATTCATGAAGTAATTTTTTTCCTTTGGCAGTTTTCAATATTGAAAGAGGCCATGCTTGTTTCTTGATTTAACCACAAAGAGAAACAGAAAGATTGGAGAGGTAGAATAAACTCTGATAAGTAATAATGCTTTTATCCATCACCTTGTTTATTAAAAATATGTGTATGTATGTGTATATTTTTATATATAGCCTGAGGTAGAAAAGAATACAGTTCTCTGCTTCTATGGCAGAGAAGGTCAAATCATTTATCCACAAAGCATTTCTTACCTTTATTTGATCTAAGGTTGACATATAGTGAGAGAAATCGTTCCAGCTTCCAAAAAAATTAAAGAATGAGGGGGCAGGTGGTGAGTAATCACTTTCGTTTCAGTTTCTGTTTATTGTCTTACAAAACTTTGTAAAATGATGCTATCTGTCACTGAAACTTCAAAAACCTTATTTGAAGTTTACATAAGTTGCCTTTATTTCTACGAAGGAATTTAGAGCCAACTAGAGTATTAGAGAGTTACTACCAGAAGGAAAAGTATAATTTTGAAACTAGTATTCCTAAAAGAATTCCTCATAATGCATTGAGTCAGTTTGTTGTTCTAGCCTTTCACCTAAATATATTTTGTCAAAGAGGGTATCTTTCGATTACCTTTCTATTTTGACACAATTTTAGACTTACAGAAAACTGACAAGAATAGTGCAGTAATTCCTGTATGCCTTGTACTCATATTCACCAATTGTCCGTGTTTTACCCCATGTGCACATGCTGTCCTTCCCCTTCCCCCTCCCTCCTCCTCCTTTCTCTCCCTATTTTTCTTGTTTGGAGTGATGGTGATTCCATATAAATTTCATAAAACAAGAACATTCTCTTAAGCATAGTATACTTATTAAATTCAGGCAGTTTAATGTGTGCACATTACTGTTATCCACAATCTATATTTCACATGTTGTTGTCTGTACTAGTTAATGTTCTTTATAGGTTTTTGTTCTCCCAGATCAGGATCCAATTCAGGATCAAACACAGCCTTCAATCTGGAAATCTGGAAGAGTTTCTCAGCCTTCCTTTGTCTGCCTTTTTTTTTTTTTTTTATTTGAGACAGAGTCTCACTCTGTCACCCTGGGGTAGAGTGCCGTGGTACGTCATAGCTCATAGCAACCTCAAACTCTTAGGCTCAAGAGAACCTCCTGCCTCAGCCTCCCATGTTGCTGGGACTATAGGCAACACCACAACGCCCAGCTAGTTTTTTCTATTGTTATTTTATTTTTTATTTTTGAGATAGAGTGTCATTTTGTCACCCTTGGTGGAGTGCTATGGCATCATAGCTCACAGCAACCTCAAACTCTTGGGCTCAAGTGATTCTCTTGCCTCAGCCTTCCAAGTAATTGGGACTACAGGCAGCTGCCACAGTGCCCAGTTATTTTTAGAGACAGGGTCATGCTCTTGCTTAGGCTGGTCTCGAACTCCTGAGCTCAAGCAATCCATCTTCCTCGGCCTCCCAGAGTGCAGACGTGAGCCACTGTGCCCAGCCCCGCCTTTGTCTTTCTTAACCTTGGCATTTT